ATTTTGCTGATAAAGATAACTTCTACATAAACTGCTAAAAAACACATCAATCATATGATTTTGCACAAATTCATGTTTTCTCCTCATTAATTATTTAAGTCAGTTGAATAACTCTCAGTTCGTGCTGCTATTGTTGTGACAACTGAGCCTCAAAGCTATTAAATCTGAGTGAAACCGCCTCCTTTTGTTTCCGCTCTCTCTTGTGTTTGCTCGCTGTGGGTCACTGAGCCCTGTCCTGTTGTCTGCAGGTCTTCTGGAGAGCAGCATGCGCCTGAAGCCTCACGAAGCACAGAGCTACCGCAAGAAAGCTCTGTGGGTGTCCTGGGTGTCCATTATGGTCACCATCGTCCTGGCCATCGCCGCTTTCAGTGAGTAACACCTGAAGCTTTTCACAGAAGTGTTGCATGTGAGTGCTAAAGACATAAAGACATCTACGCAAAAAAAAAAAATAACCCTCCAAAGTCAGGGGTGCTTGCTGTTTGGTCCTTCAGCTGAAGGACAGGTCTGTTAATTAGTTTGACACCCTGTGGATTCCTGTGACACCCAACAGCTTGATTAAACATTAGTTCTGAAATTCAAAGACAACATGAAGGACAAGCGCTCCAACACGCTGACCCTGACAAGATCTTTTTTCACTCCTCTCCTAAAACTTTAGCCTCCCACGGCACACATTTCTCACAACGTGGAACGTTTTCTGCCGCTGAGAGCATGAAGCCGACCTTCACTCTCGCTGCCATTGTTGAAGTTTCTTTTCTTTTGGAGACAGAACCGATGTGATCTTTGTTGTAAGCGTTCTGTTTTTGCTTAACCTCCTCATGTCAAGGATCCTTGGCTGGATGCTGTGACTCATTCTGGGTTTTGTGTTTGAGAGGAGACGAGGGGAGCGCTCACCGTGTCTTCACTTCACCTCTTCTAATCTCTCTGCACGTCAAATGTCCCTTTGAGATTAATTTAAAACAAAAGAGAGTCACTTTGTAGATCTAATCCAAGTTTCATGGGGGATGTAGAGGTAGCTGTGTGTCCGGTAACTTTAGAAACACAAGGTCAAATTCAACAGGTTTGCTGGAGGTGATGATTTTTGTCGACTTGGAGATGATTAAAACACCAGTTGACGGTTTTATCAGGCAGATCAGTCAGCACACACTGATGCCTTTTCCTCCTCCTCTGCAGTAAATGCAGATTAGTTCTTGACATAAGTACAGAGCACAAGCTTTGCTGCAGTGTAGCTGATCACCTCCAGATTGGTTTGCAGATGTGCAGAGCTTCCTGAAGACCAGTTGTGTTGACAGCGAGATAATAGCGTGCTGCTCTTCCTCACCTTGCTTGTTTATGTGTTCATTTAGCTTGCTTACAAAAAAAAACAACTTTCCACGTCAGCAAACAAACCATTTCTCTCCACTGAACATTTTTCATTTCTCATTAGACCCTGTTGTCACATTGCTGTGGTCCTGCAGTGAGACCTGCTCTCACTCATAAATATAACATGACACTGCTTGCAAATCAGCTGCAGGAATGAGCAGGGGAGGAGATAAATGAGGCAGACGTAGCGGCAGCAGCAGCAGCCATTCCAGTAAACAGAGATCTGACGTGCAGTCACACCGGACCGGCATCATTACAGGCGCCTAATTGTTTTACTTCTGTTATGACACCCTGTGGAGGAAAACACAGCAAACCAAGAAAACGCTGAAGTTAAATCAGTCATCGGAGGCATCTCAGAGTATGAAATTAAAAACTGGAATTGGGTTTGTTGGCAGGATTAGCGAAGTGACCCAGCAGGTTGTTGGGATGAAGCATGGAGACGTGTTGTCGTTCATTCTGAGCTGTTGCAGACATCTTGCTTTTCACTACCTGTTTTAACGAGGATCTGCTGGTAGCAGCAGGACAAACCAACCTCCCTCTTTATGGTGTGAGTCCTACTGGAGCTGTGTGCTTCATACATTCCTCCTCTAAGAGGGGCGTTTATTGCAGAGCGTAGAATCTAATTTCATTTACAGTAATTCTCTTGCAGGTGCATAATGGTTGTGTAGTTGTAATCCTGATGTTGATTTAGTGTTTTAATTTTGCCTGATAAACTACAAATGATGTAACCAGTTGGTTTGGGTTTCTCTTTAAAACTTCAGTTTAAAAATTAGATAATATCTGAATTCACTTTAAATTAGGGATCAATACATCCATCATCTCTACACCTTAATCCTCACTAGGGTCATGGGGTGACTCAGAGTGAAGGCAGGTTCACCTGGACAGGTCACCAGTCTATCACAGGGCTACACTTAGAGACAGACAACCAAGCACACTCACATTCACACCTACGGACAATTTAGAATCACCAATTAACCTCAACATGTTTCTGGACTGTGTGGGAGGAAGCTGGAGAACCTGGAGAGAACCCACACTGCATGGGGAGAACATGGAGACTCCACGCAGAAAGATCCCGGGTGTCCTCACTGGGACGAGAACCGGCAACCTTCTAGCTGTGAGGCGACGGTGCTAACCACCGATCCACCTGCAGCCCTAAATTAGGGATACAAATTTAAAATAATTTTCTTAACTGCTCGTCGGCCACTTTAGCAACCAATCACTGATTGAAATTAATAAAACACAGTGAAGGTTTTTCCGTATGTTGATGAAACCGTTTTTAAATTAGTCACACTTAATCAGCTTGTTTCCATTCAAAACTTCAAGAACAGATGAGCACCAGGTTACTGAGTTATTAAATCACCAAAATTCTCATGAAATCTAAAGTATTAACCACAACAACAAGCTGTAACGTTATTAATCTCTTCACAGCAGTTTGATGTGAAAACAATCCTCACGCCTGATATTCACGATGGAGTGACTTGTTTACTGTAGTTAGTCCAGCTGCTGGAAACAGCTGCTCAGCGTGAACAGATCCTCACAAATGCAGAAATACTGCTGCAGCAACTTGTTCAGTCCAGGAAACCTGTCAGTATTTACTGCCTCCTCGAAAATGTCCTCAGATGTGTTCACACGCTTCAAAAGGCAAAATTCACACTCAAATAACTAGAAACTGGAAAAGGTAATAATAAATAAAAATTTGCTAAATTATGATTTAATGAAATAAGACGTTGCTTTTGAATTGTGGTTGAAAAGAAAAATGAAAAAAAAAAAACTCTCCCCGACAAATTAGAGCACTTTGCTGATGAGCAGTGGAATCAGAACACCTGCCAACAGGTGCAGAAGTCTGATTGAGAATTACAGAAGTTCACACCTACATCAGAGCTCACCAGTATGACTGCAACAGCTCACAGAATCCTCAAGTGTGGTCAGCAAACACACCTGTAACTCCGTCACAGTGAACAGTCAGAGGCTCCATCTGGTGCTACAGCTCATCTACAAAACACTTTATGGTTGTTTAACCGCATGTCCTTTGCCTTTTGCTTTATATATTTTTAATCATTTAAATTATTAACCGCAATTAATTGACTGTTCAAAGCAGCATTGTGTTGCATGAAAACCATCACCTAGTTGTGTAGTGATCAACATGCTGTACACTCAGTCTGTCCTCTTTCCTATGTGATATGTGGAGTAAATATTCAGTTGGTGCTTAAGGTTTTATATTCCTGCATCTGATAGCCTCATCTTTTCAGCAGCATAAATTAGATTTACTGTGGTGGTGTTATTATTGCAGAGCCGAGCCAGTTCCTTTCTTTTTTTTTTAAGTACTGTAGAGAAAAAATAACATTTATTAGCACAAAATCCACGGCACCAGTTGCATCATCGCTCATTAAACACTTGTTAAACCTTCTCTGGAGCTGTCGCCGGCTCCTTGGAAACAAGCCAGAATGTACTGAATATAAAGTGAGCCCCGCCATAAGTGGGAACGTCTCAGTGTGCACGGAGCGTGTGAGGATCCTGCTCATGAGCGGCTGATGACAGCGTCGGACTCTTTAGGTTTGCTGCTTAGCTCTGTGCTCGTCTGTTTGCATAAAGGCGCCTCCAGTGTGAGGAAGCGTCATGAACTCAGCCACACCAAACAAAACATTACGCCGAAGATGCAGAGAACACAAACCGACGAAACAGTAATGGTTAGATAGATTATTATATTGTTTTTGGGAAATGCAAATTTTCTTTCAGCCCAAGAGTTAAATAAGGATGTTGATGCTGTACTCTGTATTCTAAACATAAATGAGCTTGGCATAGGAAGAAGAAAGAAAAGACTAGCAGCTTGAGAAAACTTGTGCCGTTTAGATTTTTAATTTTCATAAATAATAATTCTGGGTTAAATCTTTAGCTTGCATTCAAACTCTTTGTTGAGAACTACTCTGATCCCAAATGGAAGAGAAAGAGATAAAGCAGTGGAAGATTTTCAGAGAAAAATTACCTGAACCATCGTAAGGCACCGTCGTTCTCAGATGTATTCATATCCTCCTGTTAAAGAAGGAAAAAAATAATCACTGAAATAAGTTGAAATTGATGAAAGTAATCATAAATAAACATTTTAATTAAAATCGTGGCGTTGCTTTTGAACTGTGGTTCAACAGAAATATATTACCTCTGCACCTGTTGACACGTGTTTTGATTTCACTGCTCATCAGCAAAGTGCTCTAATTTAGACATTTAAAAAAAAAAAAAAATATTCTTTTCAACCACAATTCAAAAGCACCGTTTTATTTCTCTAAATTATAATTTAGCAAATTTTTATTTATTATTACTTTTTTCAGTTTCTAGTTATTTGAGTGACTAGTGTGGATTTTGTTTTTTCTTTAATGGACGGGTCTGAATACACTTGAGGACGACTGTAAATTCAGCATAAAGGACTTGATGAGGAATCAAAGCTGTGTCCTGTCAGATCTCTGCAGGGTGTCGGTCCGCTCACCACCACCTGCCGCTGCTCCCTGTCAGCTCCACATGACGACCGAGTGATAGCCGATGGCTAACACATTATTCAAACATTGCAAAGACCAGCTCGCCCACAAGCAAACTGACCCACGTTACTGTACATGCAAGTGTGTGTGAACTTTAGTATGAGCAGGCAGGTGCAGCTTTATCTCGCAGACATCGCAGAGGGGAAAATGGCTAGAGAAGGGCTGCTGCACCACCGAGCGAAGGAAATGTTAACTCTGGACCATTTTATGTCAGTTTGACACATAACTGGGCAATTTCAGAGCGGTCAAACGGAGTTAGGAGGAAAACTTCAGCACTGAGGGGATTTCATGCTGAGCGTTGGACGTGGAGATGGGCAACACTGTCTGAATGATTAATATGTAGTTACAGTGGAGATCTATCTATCTATCTATCTATCTATCTATCTATCTATCTATCTATCTATCT